GACGTTTCATCCCAATTGTCAAGTTCGAACGGCCCCCATCCGCCTCGCAGGCGGGACGGTGGCGCCCGGCGGCGGGATCCCGCTCCCCGCAGCTGCCGCTCCCGTCCGCCCGCGGCCACGCCAGGTGCCGGCCATCAGAGGGCGCTGCGAGGCCACCCCGTCACCTCCCACTCCCCTGCGACCCCGGCCACACCCCCATCACCACAACCCGACCACCGAGCCACCCCAGCTACCTCGTCATACCCACCCCCAGCCATCCCGGCCGCACCCCGCGCCCCGCCAGGAGCCCCGCGGGAGCTGCGGCGACCCTGCCCCGCAGAGGAGGGAGGAGGGTCGCGGCGCCGGGTCCCCGCCTCTCCCCAGACCAGCCCTCCCTCCCCGCAGGAGTGAGTTAACGTCTGGGCCGCAGCCGGAGGGGAGCCAAAGCCGGGGCTGCCCTGGAAGGTGCCCTGCCAGGCCCGCCCAGAGAGCCCGACCGCGGCCGGTCTGCCTTCCTGGCGCCTGGGAGGACCTCCCCCTCCCAGTGCCCGTGTCCACCGCCACCTGACACTTGTCACGGGATTTTAACTCCGAACCCGGTGTCCCTGCCTCTCAAGGCACAGAGGGCACCGCCAGTGTGCCCAGCGCTGTGCGAGGAGCCTCCCTTCACCCCAGAACAAGGGGAGTACCCAGTCTCAGGACCATTTTCAAAGGAGACCTCGCCCAGGCAATGAGGTATTTTTCCATGGATGGCAACTTGGCCGGCCCTGCAGGGAGCCCCCTGAGCACCAGGCCCTGAGGGAGCCCCCTGAGCACCAGGCCCTGCAGGGGAGACGCCTGAGCACCAGGCCCTGGCAGGGGAGCCCCCTGAGCACCAGGCCCTGGCAGGGGAGCCCCCTGAGCACCAGGCCCTGGCAGGGGAGCCCCCTGAGCACCAGGCCCTGGCAGGGGAGCCCCCTGAGCACCAAGCCCTGCAGGGGAGCCCCCTGAGCACCAAGCCCTGGCAGGGGAGCCCCCTGAGCACCAAGCCCTGCAGGGGAGCCCACATACAGGGCTGGCACTCTTGCGAGGCTGGCAGCCAGGCCCTGCTGGACTCAATATCTCTGTCTCCCCTGCTCCCCAGCCACAGTGAGAAAACTTAACCAGACGTACCCTGAGCCCAGACATCTCTCTTCCTCTGTCCCCCACACTGCTACCTAGCTTTCCTCCTGCCGGACGCCCAGCAGCCCCCTCCCTGCCCCTTAGAACTCGCTGCCTCATTCTTTCCCAAACAAGACAGTAACCGCCTCACTTTCTACCATATGTCAGCTTTACCATATGTAAAATGGGATGTGTGCAATAATGTGTGTGTGTGCGGGCAACAGTTTGTATTACTGCTGCAAGTGGAAAATTGTTAATACTTTTTCCGGAAGTTCAAGATGGCCGTAAGAATAAATATGTTAAAAGTAGAATGCTTTAAGCCCAGCCAGTGTGGCTCAGTGGATTGAGCCTGGCCCTATGGACCAAAAGGTTCCTGGTTCCCTTCTGGTCAGAGCACATGCCCAGGCTCCATGCCCAGTAGGGGTCGTGCAGAAGGCAGCCTATTGGTGTTTCTATTGCTCTCTCCCTGACTCTAAAAATCAACAACAATTTTTTAAAAAAGAAAGCATAATGCTTTGAATAAAAAGTGTCTGCCTGCCAATATCCTATCTGGCCCAGGCTATCCCTCTGGGAACCCTTGTCATCCATTATCCCTGGTGTTCGGCCACCAGACCATGCAGCTCACAGCCTCTCAGGGCCTAGATGCCAGGAGCCCTCCTGTGGGCACATCCTGCAGACCAGGACACCGGGACCTTCCCCAGCAGGGGAGGCACCTGTAAGAGCCCTGAGCTTCTGAGCAGGAACAGGCCAGCCTGAGAGCTGCCCTGGGCTCTGGGGAGCAGGCCCAGCTTTGGCTAGGAAAGAGGAGGTCATGGGCTGAGCCCTCATTCCTGCAAGGGAGTCCTAGGCAGTGAAAAGAATGGGGACCAGTGTGAAGGAAGGGAGAGTCCGTGGCTCAGCCACTGTCAGGCCCGGTGCTGGCCACTCTGCTGCCTCCCTGTGCTTCCCATGCCTCCAGCTCTCCTGCCTCAGCAGAGGAAACCAAAGCCCAGACGGGTTGGGCAGCTTGCCCAGGGTCACCGCGAGGCAGGGGTCTGTCCGAAGCCCCTGGCATTGCCCAGGGTCACTGCGAGGCAGGGGGCTGTCCGAAGCCCCTGGCATTGCCCAGGGTCACTGCGAGGCAGGGGCTGTCCGAAGCCCCTGGCATTGTTGGTGTAGCTGCCCATCCTCTGGCTTGAGCCAGAACCAGACTCCTGGAGGAACCAGCTCCCCCCTAAACCCTCTTCCCTCACCTTGAGCCTGAAAATCCTCAGCAGGAGTGTCCTCTCCCTAAGAGCTGGGAGGCTCATCCCTGCCTGGCACTGCCCACCTGTCTCTTCAGTGCCAGAGGCAGGCTCCAGAGGAATCTGGCCCACAACTGAACTCAGTAGCAGGACCTCAGTGACCACCATCCTTCTGGGAGTTGACCCCTGCAGCCCACACCCAGCCTGACAGTCCCCCGCCCACTCTCACCTGGCTGGTAGACAGAAGGCCGAATGCTGGCAGTGGTGACAACCCGCGGCTTGGGCGCAGCAGCGGCTGGGGCTTCGGTGTATGGATGGGCAGCAGGTGCTGGAGAGGTCGCCTGGGCCGTACCCTGAGCAGAAGCCTGGGGCCTGGAACCAAGGGGGCAGAGTTAGCAGCCGGCAGGACAGCCCAGGCCTTGGTGCTGGCAGCCCGGCAGGTTGTTCTCCATCCTCGGGAGCCTCTGGAGAGAGGACATCTGACAGATGGTCTGGAGCTGCCCAAGGCTGCGAGGAAAGACCACGAGGTTGTGGGGGGCGGAAGCTGCTCCTTAGGTGAGTTTTGGTGAGTTTCGTTAAAGCAGCAAAGACACCTCAAGAAATAGAGCCCATTGCTGCTGTCACCGCCTTGCAGAGAGGGAGGAAGCCAAGCTGCCAGCTGGCAGGAGGGGGCACAGGAGATTCTCCACCCCCCGGGGAGAGGCTGCCAGGGACGGTCTGGGGCTGGAGGGACAGAGGCTGGAGAGAGGAGAGATGGAGGTAGTCAGAGCTGCCCCCCTCCCTCCACCTTCTGATCTTGGGGCACTTCACAGCCTTAGACCCCTGGCCTCCTCCCCTCCCCCTTTCTACTGTTGCTGGAAGGAGCAGTAAAGTCTCGGGTTTCTGGGCAAGAGTGCTCCGGCAGGGAGACCCTCACCCCCAAACACGGTTCTCTTCCATATGGTTCTCGTGCCTCTCCCACTGCGTTCCCCCAAGAGGCTGAGAGCAGCCTTTTTCTACTCTGACCCAGGTATCATAGGACCAAAGAGAACGGAAACAGTGACCCCGTGCATTGCCCTCAGGAAATGCGGTGCGTGGCCTGTCTTCTCGGAGAGCCGACAGCTCCAAGAATCCCTGGAGCAGCTTGTTTTACTTTGGCTGATCCAGCGTGCCCCAATTTCATGTGTCTGTGAACCCTGCCCCTCCTTTTCTTTTCGCATTTAAAACTAATGAATATCTTACAGAACACGCCCTTGTCTCTCCCTACCTTTTCCAGATCCCACAGGGACCACGTGACCACACCCAGTGGAAATGGGGTGCTAGAGACATGAGCCCCTGGAAACGTGCTGTCCTCCCCAGCACATGGCTTCCTGCCTTCCTTCCACCTGGCCTGAATGACGCCGCCCCCCCCCCCCCCCCCCCGCCACCGGGTGCACATCCTGGAAAATGAGGGTCTTGATAGAAAGGGCTGGCTTGGCTCTCCTGGATCAGAGGAGTGGTGCTCACCGCGCCGCCCCCCTCCCGTTATCATTGTTGAAGCGTGGCCACCCACTCCCCACCCAGGCCAATAGGAGAGTGCCTTTTGTGGGGAAGGACCCTACTTGCCTGACTCGAAAAAGCATCTTCCTCCCTCCCTGAGGGACTTGGGGTCCTGGGGGAAGCTTCCAACCCAAGTGTCCCTCCGCCAGATCCTGCCGTCACTACCTGTTCCGGGAACTTGAAATCTGTGTCTCCATCCCCTGTCTACGGAACAGAATTGCTAATATCCATGTCAGAAGGCGACGGTGAGGAATGCAGACACAGGCCAGGCACACAGGGCCAGGTCTAGAGTAAACTCCGCGCAAGGCCACCCGCGAGGAGAGCCAGCTCCAGCTCTGTGTCAGCTAGTCCCCTTCTCACGCCTCGAGGCCGGGGGGCAGAGAATGCGTTTCTCTGCTCTCCTGTAGCTTGGTTGTCTCTCAGCCCATTTTCCACGTGGCACAAATACGCCCATCAATCCCCAGATCTGTGCTCCCCCTTCTTTGAGAGGTT